CATTCTCTGAGAATTTCTGGAGAAGCATCAGTTTCTCCATTCTGTTTCAGGTTGTCAACGTCAGACAGCTGTGAACAAATACAAGTTCAGTAGGGGGGTTTTCAAATATCTGTCCTACTGGCAACTCTAGGCGTGGTAATTAAATGCACTCGTATTGGTTCGTCGCTACCGAGGCACTTATAACAAGAAACTTAAATATTCGCGGTCTCTACTAAAGGGGGTTAGTCACGTGGTTGAAAACTGATAGATCAGTGAAGAGAAACAAGATACGTTTTAGGGCCAGGGCTCGGATCGATTGAATGCAACGTTCTCAACGAACAGTTGAGTCCCGATATCTGAACCAGATAACTAGGTCAAGACATTTCGGTGGCATGTGACCAAAAGATATTTGCTAACTTCTGACGACGGGGATATACGATCAGGCAAGTTTTTGTCTGTCATTAAGTTCTAAACCCACCAGGAAAAGTGGCCGTTGTTTTTGACGTTGAGACTCCTGTCGGTTCTGCCTACACGTCTTTCTCCACAGTTACGTGTGTATCGGTGGGGTTCAGTCCCGATAGGCTTCTGTCTTTTAACTGAAGATAGTGACAAACCCTAAGTCAGGTTTAGGACCCTACCTCTGAAAAATTGTACGTCCATTTTAGTGCTGACCTCAGCGTTCTCCACACTGTTTACTAGACAGAACTTACGTGTTCTCCAATTCACTGAAGATGATGCAAACAATCTAATTCATTGAAACTTGGTATAATGTTTGGGTTTCCTTGGACTTAGAATATGTGCTTTTCTCGACACATTTTTATGCCTGTTTGGTTTTCACGGTAGATCCACCCAAATCCCAACTAAACCACTCGTTCATGATGTTCTTCTTTAGTTGAATGTGATGCACCAGTCCACTAATGTTTCAGAGTATCGGAATACTCCCAATGGACCTTACACACTACACATAAGTTGCTGAAGATACTTCGACAGCCCATCACCGGGTTGGCTGTTCTTAGAGCTTATCCGATAGGAGCAGTCCCCGTGTTACCGTCGACCTTATTTTATGTCCGAACCGAAATTGCGCGTGATTCGACCAATCCAATCATTTGCATACCAGTTTGGTTTTCAAGGGGGAACTCACCTAAAATCCAGCTTGATCTCTCCTTTGTGATATACTTCTTCATTGACTTCTTACATTGACTCTGTCATTAGGTGTATTCTGGTGGCAAATTCTTTGACTCTAAAGGACCATCCAAGTTTGTCCAGAAATTCTGTTCTGGTCCTAACAGTGTCCACTGATAGACTTTCCGTATTTGTCCTTTAATGTCTTTGAGTCCAGAGTTCACTGGTTAGTTGGCAAATATACGAGAACGAAATGGGTACTCGAGTTTACCGTGTTAGTTGGGTTCAAAATTTGTCAGACTTGGCTTTTTATTATCCGGGGGGGAAATATAAAACGTAAAATGTGGCGCTGCTTCGTAAATTCGAACTAACGGAAGCTGAGTAAATCCAGATGACAGCCTTGTCTGACCTCAAGTCTTGATAACTAATAGCCTACAACTAACTAACAGAGGAAGGGTGGTTTCTTGAGGCGTTTGTCGTTTGTCAGCTACAAGTGTCGGAAAATTGCTCAACACATGGGCCAATTTTTCTGGGTAATTCGAGTCTGACTTTTTCAGCAAAGAGAGTCATCTGCGGTTGTTATGTTATGAAAATGGTTGACATTCTTCATGCAATAATGCAAGAAACAAACTTTCGTTACACGATCTCTTCAAATTCACTGTTTGATTATGTTGCCGCCACAAATGATTGCAGTTAGTCCTATTGACATTGTCTTTTTCGTTGCACATCACGCTTGCTAACAGACATCCATAAAGTTGAAATTTCACACAACTGTTACAGAAATACCGGAATAGAAAGCTTTCGACCTCAGTTTTTCGATTCGAAAAATAAAAGTAGTGAACTACGGTCCACGGCGCCATTTTATTGTCACCTGTGACCGAGTAACCGCAACTGTTCACTGAAAGACGGACATAGCGCACTAGCTGCTCACTCCAGAGCGGATTTGGAGGTCACTCACCACAGATGTTCTACCATAATCACTCCTAACTTCGTCAAGGTTGCTTTGGTATGAGCTCTTAAAAGACCCACTATACATCTTTTTAGGCTTTTCACCATATTCTCCGCATCCACGAGTCGCATAAAACCTAGTGCCACATCGATCGCTACGTGGCATCAGTCAGCCTTTCTTGCTGCACACAGAAGAGCGAGTAAGCGAGAATGGATTACTGCTGGAATCCACTTGCCTTCTTTTTCATATCTTTGTTCCTTCTCACCTCCTTGCCCTTTTTGCAGTGATATCTTCGTGGGCTCTTCATGAAATACTGACAGGTTCTTTCGTCGCCTGGTGTTGTTAGCTACAATATCTACGCTTAACTGAGCCACGGCGGTCTCCTTTAAACTCGGAAAATCAGTTCATCTGGCAGCCGTTAACGTTCTCACTCTGAAACAAGCTGGACAACAGGCCACTCTTGCATATACACTGGAATCGTTCCGTATTGACGTGTGCTGCCATACCCAAGTGCGGTTGTTTTAAGTTACCGACCTGTCAGGTTACCCAAGCGTAGACAGAAGTCTAGATGGTGCGGTTGTGTTCGAACCACGAACCGGAAGGTCCGTCCACAACTTCGAAAGCTTCTAGCAGTCTTACTTGTGGAACCACGCAGTCAACTGCTTCTAAGCAGCGGATCTTGAGCAAAACTATGAACTTGCTGAAAGTTTGGGAGAGCATTTTCCTTAGTTGAGGGTATGATGTAAATTGACGGGCAACTTGTCAGAGGCAGGCAAAAAGAAGCAGATGGATCAGGAAGCCACGGAGCTGAGGGAAGCGATAACCTCTTGTAATGTGCGGCAATGATTTCAGCTTGTGCGCCCCACGGGCCAAGAGCTGCCTCTGGGAAGCGAAACACTGAGCTAAAATGATAGTTCTATTTATTTCTAAAAAGAAGAACGCTTAAACTGTTCGGGTGGACTCTTTGAATAACACTTTAGAGATAGGAATGTACTTGCCGTCCGTCAAGCGTCACTGAACTGCCGGATCTGACGGACATCCACCGGCCATGCTCACTGATGAATTTCAATTCCCCACTTGGTGCATGGCTAAATTGTCTCTGTCTGGGAGAGAAATACCACCCGTGTAAACGGCGGTAAGCGGATAATTGTGCCCTTTTTCAAAGTTGTTCACCCTGAATATGACATGCACCGAGGAAGTGGTGTGATTTTCGTTGTGACAAAATGGATTGCGTTATTCTGTTTATCTCGTTTTATGAGGGCGCATGAGGACACATCTTGTGAATAACAGGCCGGATTCCAGCCGGGAAAGGTGTACGTCGACCACATTATTAAGCTTCATTAACTGGTAGAGAAACGTTATGCGTGAAACCTCTAAGGGTAAGTTTGACCCTGCTGACCAATTAGCTCTTCCCAACACGCTTGTTTAATTGTTTGTGCCGCAAAAACTGTATTGGTAATTTCCTCACTGGTGAGATAACGAGGTGAATTCTAGTAGATATCGAAAACCCCGGTGTGCGGGTCTCTTCGAGCGAGAAGCTTGTCAATCTGGATAAAGCAGACAGAAATATTCTCACTTTGATAAAGAGCAGGATGCAAAAGTATCAGTGGTGAGGTTTACCAGGTTCGTCCAGTCATCCGGTACGTGTTTTGCATTCATAAAGTGCAATTCGTTGAACGTGGCTGCAACGATTTGAGGATAGACAGTGAAAATCGTGAAACACCATACATGTATAACATTTTCCTGCTCACTTTAACCTCCTTCCCCCTGTCAGCATTGTCTACATCGTTAAACAAAATTTGCCTTAATGAAATATAAAAACAAACTCCCACTTCTTGAGCTCAATAGGACTTTGCTTCTTTTGCTGAGTGACTGTTGTCGTTACCGGCGGTTGAACAGTCTTGACTATCACCTATTCCGAAGGTTGAAAACTTTTTTGCTCCAAATGCTGGACCTGCCATTTTACATCATTGGAGGTAGAAATACCAGGAGAATAGAACCTCTTCGTGGTGTGAATATGAATCTTCGAAATTACCTCTGTATGAACTGTGAGTGATGATTTCCTTGGATTATGTTGCTTGTGACATTGTATTCAACTTACAACAATAGTTCGTTCTGTTCATTAGCGACTCCTTAGAACGCGCCTAATTTTGCTTCCTCTCCGGTAGCTAAGAGCTCCCATCGCTCTTACATGTACACAGACTAGTATCTCACTAGTTCAGTCATGTCTAATGAGAACAGACTCAAGACTGACTTGGATGAAAATCCCGTCAAACTCCAAAATTTGGTTCATTTCTTCCACTTCCACTAGAGAAACCCACAACAAACCATGATTTCTTACGTGGTCCCTCAGCTTTCCACTGTGGTTTCCGCGAATTTTAGTAACGTAATTAATCCTACGCCGGTATTAAATTAGTACAGGACTCTTAAACGGACAGCAACGTCTGATGGAACTAATCCCATGAAGTTGCTCTCGGGAGTCGAACTGGGCGATCAAGCACCATCAAAACGCCTGCGACACAGGCAAAGTCTGCTTTGCGCCAGTTCGTCGGATGAATCGATTTTAAAGCAACTATGGATGCAGTGTCTTCCCTTAAATACACGTTAGATATTGGCCACCCAGTCTAAAGTCCCGCAATCGTCACTCTCAAAGACAGCAGAGAAAATCCTTGAGTGCCTCGCAAACCATTTAAGTGCCTCAGCGTCACAACAACAGTAAGTCTAGTGATGAGCCGGTTCTAGGATGACTCGATCTGGCGCAAACGCAAATCAACCAACTCGTAGCTACTGTTAACACTGTAGTTACAAGTCCCGAAACAGTTTTCCGCGAACCACGCACCCCATCACGGGAACATAAAGGCCACCGTCTTTAACATACGCGGTTCAACGACAAGGCTTTATGCTTTATACATCCGTGCGCCTACGTCTTCTCTCAGACAGGGAAACCAACCTGCCAGTCAGCATTGGAGACAGCTGTGATCCCCAGTAATCTAGTGTGCGTCTCAAGTTTGCACCCACCTGATAAGTTAAAATACTGCCATTGTTCACGTCTTCCTCTAAGCGAATAATAAACCCCGGATCCCCACCATCCATCCCCTCATTGTATCATTGCTGCTAAAAGACCTAGCGTTCAGTAACATCGCTATTCGAAATCGGTTGACAGAGCACTGCGAGTCACTTCAGACTGTTCAGTGGTACTAACCAAGACTTTCTTTCCCGTCCAACTCAGAAGCCTTCCTCCCTCATCCCTACCAGAAGAATCAGGGATTCACACAGACCCGGAGCCTATATGCATAGGATGGAAAATGGACTAGCTTTCTTCCGAAGTACACAACCAATTGCTTGCCTTCCGGCTTCTGACGCAACAAGTGATCTGTCAAATCTTGAAAAAGGCATCAATTCTCACTGACACACTGTGGTGAACATTGACTCCTTTCTTCCGACACAACCAATTGCTTGCCTTCCGGCTTCTGACGCAACAAGTGATCTGTCAAATCTTGAAAAAGGCATCAATTCTCACTGACTGACTGTGGTGAACATTGACTCTATTCTAATCATTCTGTTTAGTGTATTTTTATATGCCTTTGTTTTACGATGCGATTGATGGTACGCTCGCGATATACGAGAATATACGATATTCATGCGTCCATATTCGAACTTCTATACTACGCGTACATTCGGTAGTTAAGATACCTACCACTATTCTAATTATCACACTTGGCGTCGCCATCCGGAATTTTTTTATCTTCATCACAATGTTATCTGAGTTAGAATCGCTCAGTGTAAATCCAACTGCACGGGAGGTGGAGGATTATTTGGAACGCTTCAGCATTTGGTGTCTTCCCACATTGGATCTGGACGATAAAAAGAAGACAGCTTATTTCCTGCACTACTTTGGGAAGGTTGCTTATGCTCTTGTGAAGAATTTATCATTCCCTACGGCGCCGATCGACTGCACACTCGATGTTCTAAAGAAGTTAATTATCAGCCACTTTAAGCCTATCAATTTTGTGGCCGCAGAACGAGCGAAATTCAATTCACTTATTCGATCCGAATTTCAGAGTATTCGTGATTTTGTCCTCCAACTGCAAACACAGGCTACAAAATGTGACTATGGCCAACAACTTGAAAGCCAACTGAGTGATCGCCTCATTGCGGGAATCAATCTTCCAGATCTACAGCAAAAGCTCCTAGTACAGACTGATCAACGCTTCATATCGATCAGAAAAATTTGCGAGCAATACCAGGATGTTAAAGAAGTAACCAAATGCAACGAGACCGTTTTATTTAATGCACTAAAGTCGAAAGGGCTGGAAGGTCGCCCACACGGTAAATTTGAAACCAATATGCGTTATCATAACAAAAACAACCAACTGAATTCGAACATTCAAAATCGTCAAATACGCCAACCAAAAAAAGTTCTTGGCAAATGTGCTTCGTGTGGACAGGACCACTCCAGATATACTTGCATACATCGCCAATCAAAATGTTTTTCATGTGGTAAGATTGGGCATATTCAGAATGTATGTAAGTCCAAAAGAGTTTGTAGACTGACTGTCGACTCAAATTCTGATATCAAGCCTTTGACTGATAACATCTCATCCATGTCTTTATCTGTTTTATCGAATTCTATGCATGTGTCGAAGACGCTCATATCAGGCTCTGGTAAAAAGCATAGTTTTATCATTGATACTGGCAGCGTCGAATCCATTATTCCTGAGTCAGATCTTATAGCATTTTATCCTACTGCTGTTTTAAAACCGACACAATTATCTGTTAGAGGTATCACTGGACATGCTTTACCGCTTCTTGGTTCATGTACTATACCAGTCAAAGTTTCCAGTGGTAACTTTGTTGATTGTAATTTTCTTGTATCGAATTCTGGTCCTTCAATAATTGGTCTCAAAGTTTTACGTGCGCTTAACGTTAACATTTCACTACTTACTTCAAATTTCAACGAAACCGAATTGAAACAACTGATCACGAGCTGCTCCAAAGTCACCGGAGGAATGCGCATACCAAAAGTGAAACTCGAGGTTTCTGGTGATCCGATTTTCCTCAAACGACGTATAGTACCTTTTGGTTTGCGTGAACCAGTGCGTCTAGCTCTAGATTCATTGTGCCAAAAAGGTATTCTGACACCTGTCGAGTCTTCCAAATGGGCTACGCCGATTGTTACGCCATTAAAGTCTGATGGTAAAACTGTTAGAATTTGTGGCGATTATCGATTGACACTCAACAAAAGCCTACTTCAACGCTCGTGTGCTACAGAAGAACCTGAAGATGTGTTGTATCGTCTAGCGGGATCAAAAATCTTTTCAAAAATAGACTTGAAGGATGCATACTTGCAGATACCACTTGATGATGCTACTAGTGAATGCACAGTCATCAATACACCATTTGGATTATATCGGTATAATTTCTTGCCATTCGGACTTAATGTCTCTCCTGCTGTATTTCAAGATGTGATTAATTCAATTACTGACGGTCTTGAAGGTGTTGTAACTTATCAAGATGACGTGATAGTTCATGCTGTCGATAAGGTTACGCACGATTCACGCTTGCTTGCATTATTCAAAAGATTTCATGACTTAAATGTTGCCGTTAATTCTTCGAAATGTGCATTTTCTGTTTACAAACTATCATGTTTAGGCTACACTGTTGATGGAAATGGTTTTTCTCCTGATAATGAACGTTTATCGCCTTTAGTCAATGCTCCATCCCCTTCTAATCTGTCCGAACTTCGTTCCATACTTGGTGCATTGCAATATTATTCCCGATTCATACCTAACTTTTCTCAGAAAGCTTATTGTCTATTTGAACTGTTATCTCTGAAAACATTTTCATGGATATCTGAGCATGAGAAAACTTTGCGTTCTTTACTCAATTATCTTAAATCTGACGCTATTTTGAAACCATTTTCTGCGAAAGATCATTCAACCGTTATAACTGATGCGTCTCCAACTGGATTAGGTGTTATTCTCGAACAAAATGGCCGTCCTGTCATTTGTGCATCCCGTCGACTAACACAAGCCGAACAGGGCTATTCTCAAACACAGCGTGAAGCTCTTGCTGTCTACTGGGGTGTAAGTAGACTACACAAGTATCTTTTTGGTAAACCATTCACGATTGTGACCGATCATGAAGCCTTGAAATTCATATACCATCCTATGAAATCATTGGCTAAGTCATCCGCAGCCATGGTTCAACGTTGGAGCATCGCTCTCAGTTCGTATACATATGACATTATTCATCGTGGTGCTAAATCCATTCAGCACGTCGATTATCTATCCAGAGTTCCAGAAAGTTTATCACAATCTAATGTTTCTGATTGTTTGTTAGTACAACCGCTTCCGATTAAACGAGACGAGCTTGTGCGTGATACCCGAAAATACTTTTCATCCGTTATCTCTGCATTAAGACGAGGATGGACGCACCAAGAACGTCGTCGATTTCCCGCATTTTATGCTCGTCGAGACAGTTTAGCATTGACACCTGATGGATTGTTGTGTTATAACGATCGTGTCGTGATTCCACCAACACACAGAAGTGCCATTTTATCCGATTTGCATTCCGGACATTTAGGCATCGACAAAATGAAGTCTCTTGCCAGACTTACTTGTTGGTGGCCAGAGTTGGATGCAGACATTGCGCGTACGGCTAAGGATTGTATGAACTGTACACACAAAATTCATTCCAAATCATCCAAATGGATTCCTTGGCCATTGTCCTGTGAAACATGGCAACGCATTCATGCAGATTATTGCGGTCCATTTTTGAACAAATATTATGCACTGGTGGTTGTAGATTCCTATTCACGCTGGACGGAAGTATTTCTCACGACATCCCCGAGTTCTGAGTTTACTCAGTATGCTTTGAGGAAACTATTTAGTCGTGAAGGTGTACCAATTGTTTTGGTCACTGATAACGGCTCACACTTCACAGCGAAATCTCTCGAATATTGGTTAAAAGGACTTGGTTGTCGTCATTTATTTACTGCTCCCCGTCATCCACAGTCTAATGGACTCGCTGAAAATTTTGTTCGAACTTTGAAATCTGCCATCAATTCTATTTCCCCTGTTACTTTTCATGATCTTGATCGAGGTATTGATAATTTCTTGATGCAGTACAGGAATGCTGCTCATTCAATTACTGGTAAGAGTCCAGCAGAGCTATTCAAGTCGAGATCCTTACGCACGAACCTGGAATGCATTGGGACTGCCGACGTAACATTTTTCAAGGGTAACGATCTACGTCCATCTACTGGTGTTGTTATTGGGAGGAACGGGAATCGTATGGTCACGGTTCTTGACCTCGAAGATCTCTCAAGTCACAGACGGCATGTTGATCAGGTCGAATTCAATGCTAGAGGTCAGTTTGGCGACAATACGTCTGTTGCTTCAAACACTAATGACCTTTCTGATTCTCTTACAGATGGTTCTGATGAGCATGAAACAAACACTGAACCTGACAATCCGACGTTGAGAAGATTTGAACGTTTGGGGTTCCAACCTATTAGAGACTATAGACACCCGCACGCTCATTCAACGTGTGGTGGATGTAGTGAACATTGACTCTATTCTATTCATTCTGTTTAGCGTATTTTTATATGCCTTTGTTTTACGATGCGATTAATGGCACGCCCGCGATATTCGAGAATATACGATATTCATTCGTCCATATTCGGACTTCTATACTACGCGTACATTCGGTAGTTAAGATACCTACCACTATTCTAATTATCACACACACTTACCTCTAAAATTTGTCAGCATTTGGAGTGTCGTCAAACAGTCTTAATTTACGATGCCCCTGATCGCATCCAGCTCAAACTCGCAAAAACTGCTCTCCTGACTTTATGTAACATACTTGACTACATCTACACAATTCTATGACTTTGGAAGTCAAAACATTTCTTGTGGTGTCCAATATTACTGCGCTTCAAAAACAGAAACGGTGCCACACACCTGCTGGCATCCCAAACCCTCCTTTCCTCTCCCTCAAAACACCAAAAAGTTAGGGCCAAAGCTACTCGCACTCAGCTGCAAAGACGGCTTACTAAAAGTTCACCGTAAAAATCCCTAAATCGACCA